AGATGCAAATCCTAAGCAGAGCGCACCAAACGCGCGTACATGCATCCGCGCATCAGCAGGCACTAACTAGCCAGCCAAGGGGCCGGCCGCCCTTTCGTTGATTAATTGGCGCCACCATTACTACTACTACCAGCTGCCAGTTAGGTGGATCGACGACGCATGATGGGGTCGCTTTGCTTGCTCGATCGCTCCTCTCGCGCGCGCGCACGACGACGAGGACGAGGACGAGGCGGACGATCGGATCGGCGCGCCGGGACGCAAAGCGCCGTGCGTATTTTTGAGAAAAGGAGAGGCACTCTTGCGGCCGCTGTCGATCTCCATTCCATCTTAGATAGTTTGGCGCCACAAGAAACCATTCGGGGTGGTGTGGGTGATGTTGTTTTCCATCTGCGGAAAAGGAGAGAGAAGGGCCGCCGCGGAGAAACTCCTCGTCATTTTCTTTCTTTGGGAAGAGGGGGACACGCATCGGCGTCCCCTCTTCTTCTTTTGCGGTACAGCGCCAGGCGAAGGCAACGGATGCATGGAGAGAAAGCTTATCATGTTGCTGTTTTAGCTGCTTTCATTTTTTTTTGAAACAAGTTTTAGCTGCTTTCATTCGATGGCACACTCGGTTAGATAGAAATGTTGCGTGCGTACACCTATCCATTAAATAAATAAGCCCAACCTTTCCCTAAAGAAAGTTTATGCAATTCGAGCACTATAATGTGCATTGCTCAAAGACAAAACATCTTCCATGGGGGGTGTACCTCCAAAACGAAAAATAATAATATCTTCCATGGGGACATTTTTAAAATGTGCAAGATTGCCAATAGTAGGTTTGTGTGTCATAGGTAAGATATTCATAGGTGCTAAAGTTGTTAAAAGGTTAGCGGGTTGGAAGAGGGGGTCAAAACGGGACTCCTTTCCAGTAAAGCCAGGGTCATTTCCGATAAAGCCTGTGTTGATAACATTCCTATATTTACATCTTGCTGCTTTCTGCCACGGAATTCCCTCGAGTAGCCGCGATAGCTAGATACCATTAGTCCATGAATGCACATATCAATTTTGCTTCTGGGATAACCACGAGGGTCATCGCGCCGCACATACGGGAGTTTGTCATAGCTAAATGTGGCATAGTGGGTCAGACTAGGGGATACGGCCAATATGGATGGAGGCATGCAGCTAGGCAGTGCAGAGCTATTAGCTTCAACCATTTAGTTTGGGGTTGCATGCAAATGTGGAAGCTTCATGCCACTTTTCTTGGTTGTGTCCTACTTATTCCGCCCGGTGCAGAGTGTGCATCTAATTTTTTAGAACAAATTATGGAGTTGAGTAAAAAATGCATTGGAAATGTGCAAGCTATCATCTCTCTCCTCTTTAATTACCCAACCCCCAATGAGCTAAGGCTGGTCATAGTGGGGAGTAACTTAGACTAGTATCATGCATATGACACTAGTCTAAGTTACCACCTTCACAATGCAAAGTAACATAATAGTAGTATCATAGATGGCTTCATTTATTAGCTCGCAGACTCATCTTGTCTTGAAAAGCGCTATGTTACAGTAACATATTAGGCTGGTCATAGTGGGGAGTAACTTATACTAGTGTCATGCATATGACACGAGTCTAAGTTACTACCTTTATAGTGCAAAGTAACATACTAGTAGTGTCATAGAGGACTTCATTAATTAGCTTGTAGACTCGTCTTGTCTTGGAAAGCGCTATGTTACAGTAACATATTATGTTACCACTTCTCATTAACTACATGCCACATAAGCAAAAAATTCTCGGAGTGTGCTATGTTACTTGCTAAGTTACTCCCACTATGACTAGCCTTATGTTACCACATCTCATTAATTACTTGCCACATAAGCAGAATTTTCTTGAAGTGCGTTATGTTACTAGCTAAGTTACTCCCACTATGACTAGCCTAAGGCTAGTCATAGTGGGAGTAACTTAGATAGTAACATAGCGCACCTCAAGAATTTCTTGCTTATGTGGCAAGTAGTTAATGAGAAGTAGTAACATAATATGTTACTGTAACATAGCGCTTTTCAAGACAACATGAGTCTACAAGCTATTAAATGAGGTCACATATGACACTAGTACTATGTTACTTTGCACTATGAAGGTAGTAACTTAGACTAGTGTCATGCATATGACACTAGTCTAAGTTACTCCTCATTATGACCAGCCTAAGTGCATGTAGAAATTAAGAAAACCATGTGTAGATTGCTATTGGTCTTGATTACCGTGTGATGAGAGAGAATTATTTTTTCTCACTTTAAAGTACATTGGAAAAATAAAAGTACACTCTTTTGTAGTACACTCTTCACCGGACGGAGTGAGTACTCCATATGATGTCATTAATTCATAGTGGGTTGTCAATTTTTCCATTCCAACTCTTTGGAATCTTTCCGTAGTGTCCACGTGTCCATACTTCTCATTATTGGTTAGCGTTTCTTCATAGACTTCTAACCTGACAATAATTCTTGCAGAAGGCACGTCGTACCAGAATTGTCTTGTTTGTTGTCTACTGATCACAAGGGATTATTGCTCATCTTTTTCTTTTCAACAAAGGATTATTGCTAATCTGGTTTGGTTCAGTAGACAAAAATGATGTGGTAAAATATCTCTAGAGTTTGTGGTCCTTCTCCATGTGTGGAAGGAGCTCTAAAAGGTGATATCTCTAGAAATTTTCCTTAGTGGTGTGGATGCCCTGGATCTGAGTAGTAGCCCATTGCTAGAGAGTTGCTTTTTTTGTGTGAAAGACGAACTACATGTGTTTGTGTGAAAGACGAACTGCGTGTGGCACACAGTATACACCGATACTCATATCAGTCAGGCGCTAGAACTAACGGAGATTGATGATGGATGCAGTGCATGACAAAATTCTCACCGAGGGGATGGCCTCTGAGTATAAGTAGACCACATGGTTATAGATGACAATATTATCCATGGATGCGGGTACTTGTGGATACCCGGTATACTGGACATGGACTTGGAGAACATTTTCTACTTATGAATTTTTGAGGCCCATGGATACTCCCGAACTTACGGGTCTGACATAGATTTAGAATTTATCTTATGGATACTTGATGGATACCCATCTGACAGGTAGACCCCACATGACAATGACGCAACATGCGATTAGTCTCAAACAAACCCTAAAGACCCAACCCTTGGCCATGGACTCATCTAAGTTACTTAACCAACAACCGCAACCCTCTCCCTAACCTAGCCCTCATGCTCGACCTCTCTGACTCACTCCCTCTGTGTGCACGTGCGCACATGGCACACAACCACACACACAGACAGTGTCGACACACGCCGCTCTAGTCCTCTCTGTCTCCCCGTCCGCTCCGGCTCCAAACCTCCTTTGCCACTATTTGTCTTTCATATACTCCCTTCGTCCGTGAATAAGTGTACATCTAGCTTTTGTTCTAAGTTAAAGTTTTAAAATTTTGATCAACTTTATAGAAAATAGTAGTAACATATATGACATCAAATGAGTATATTATCAAAGTACATTCCAAAACGGATATAGTGATACTAATTTAGTGTCCTAAATTCTTTTACTTTTTCCTAGGAAGTTGGTCAAAGTTTTAAAACTTTGACTTAAGACAAAAGCTAGATATACACTTATTCACAGACGGAGGGAGTACGCATCAATCGTTGTGTTGTGATAAGACCAAGTATTGATCGTGTTGTTTAGCATGTGAGAGCTATATTTGCCGCTGCAATTTGGTAACGGCAGGGGTGTTTGATTCAGCTGGCTATGTTGAAATGACACTACTTCTTCTAACAGAAAAAGAAGGCGTTTCCACCCTTTGTGAATTATTCATACATGTAAGAATTGTGCGATCTTGGGAATCCCAGGATGTCACTCGTTTGACATGCGACAAGCTCATTTTGGCGGTACATGTGGCAGTTTAGGCCTGACCTACCGATCGACGGTGGCTGAAACGAACTTCTGTTGTTATGACACCACTATTAAGAGCTCGTCTACCGTGTCCAAACTTCTGTTGTACTTATCTGAACTTCTCGTTCTTTGGATTTGTTGGTTGCGTGCATCATCTATTGGTAGTGCTAGCACAGGGCCGGATATTTTTCTCTTGTAACCACTTTCTCCACCCCATATTAATTGACGCTCGAACAAATGTATCTGGACGGTAGCATGCTATCGTCTCGATACGGCTACGAGAATGAATGAAGTCCCAAAACACACATTTCTACTATAATTTCTGCGTCGTTACGTGAACATGAGAGTTCGAACCCAGCTGCCCTGGCGGGCGAAGTTACTGCTGCCATGACTCCCCCCCTCTTTAACCCATTCATTGATTGATGACTAGCCAGTACAGCTTCGGGAAACGCTTGCCACCGTCGTCGGACCGCCTCGCGCGTCGGCACTCCGTTGCCGTCGGAGACGACATCCAGGCGGCATTTCGTACCGCCGGGCGTCTCCTCCGTTGCTGGCCTGCTGCCGGCACAGGAGGCAGAGCAGGCGCGCTCCGGAAGTGGATCGGCAACGTCGACGCGCACGTCCCGGCCCGGCCGGCCACGTTCCCCGAGCCGATCCATCGAGCGGTAGAGCTCGTGGCGCCCTAATCAAACTGAGGACGGGAAACTGGGTGCACGGGTGACTCGGGATCCATCCATCCGTCTCCGTCGACACCACACACGCACACCAACTCCTACTACTCCTACCGGCACGCACATAACTCTAGCTAGGAGCAGTGTGCACGGGTGGTGCGCGCCGCGGGCCAATGCATGCCGAGCTGACCGGCTGACCTCACCCCCCACAGGCCTGTACCCCGCTATAAATTGCCCCGCCCGCGAGCTCATCTTCCATCGCCGCGTACCGCAGTCAGTTGTCTGAGCTCAGCAGCCACCCGCCCACCAGCCGAGCGCGAGCCGCAGCCTCACACGCACGGTGCGAGTACGTGGTGAGAGCTGTGCGCTCGTGCCTCCGTCCATCCACCCTCCGCTCGTGCTTGTGTGAGAGAGGGAGAGCGTCAGCCATGGGCGTGGGGAAGAAGGTGCTGAACGACGTGAAGCCGTACATGATGATGATCCTGCTGCAGATCGGGTACGCCGGGATGTACATCGTCTCCGTCGCCTCGCTCAAGCGCGGCATGAGCCACTACGTGCTCGTCACCTACCGCAACCTCGCCGCCACGCTCGTCATGCTGCCCTTCGCCCTCTTCTTCGAGAAGTACGTAGCACCAATCTCTCAATCCCTAGTACCCCCCTCAGCTTCCTTCTCCGTCCACCGGCCTTCTTACATGTGCGTGCATGTCAAACTGTTCCAATTAACGTGCTGCATGCACTCTGTCGGAGAAGACATTTTTACATGCATGCATGCACACTCTGTTAGACAAAGGCATGGTAGCCAGCTTCCATTGAAGGTTTCAGAAGCGCAGTTCGTTTTTGTTTCATCACATCCAAGTGGAAGTCTAGTTATTATTATCAGCCAAAGACAAAGTTAAATGGTTATCAAGATTATCTGTTCCTACTAGTAGCTAGTTTCAATCAATCACTACGTAATCAAGCACTAGATGCACAGTTGCACACTGGTGCGAGACACCAGGAGCGCGCACCTATCGCATCCATGCCCAGGTCTTTCTTTTTCAACCACAGGCATATTCATTCACGTCGGCTTTTCTCTCGCCCCCTTTCCTTTCCGTGACATCGGTCAGTCAGGAGTCAGGACGACTCTCGATTAATCTATGCCCGACCGACACATGCAACCCCGACAGCCTTTGCTTCCTGTGATCTGCGTGTAACCGCACTAGAGTATACTTTCTTTTTAGCAAGCAAAGCTTTAATTAGCTTCATGCCAATTTGCTAATGCCCAGCTCTGAGCTAGCTGTGCTTTCGTTTCATGCACCATAAACTGCCCGTTGCTAAGTAACTTGTCTTTGGCGTCTTGTATGGAGTAGTAGCCGACAGCGACTGATTGTCTGTTCTGTTATGCTTGCGAAATTGCAGGGGGATACGGCCCAAGATGACCCTCCGCATCTTCATCAAGATCCTGGGGCTGGCGCTGCTCGAGTACGTGCCATGCATGCTTTTACTTACTGTTTTTATTTACAGTGGAGTGGCTAACAATATTCGTGGGTTCCCAACCTGCAGGCCTGTGCTTGACCAGAACCTGTACTACGTGGGCAACAAGCTGACCTCGGCCAGCTTCTCGTCGGCGCTGGTCAACATCCTGCCGGCCGTCACCTTCATCATGGCCATCGTCCTGCGGATGGAGAAGCTCCGGCTCCGGAGCTCGCACAGCCAGGCCAAGGTCGCCGGCACCATCTGCACCGTCATCGGCGCGGTGCTGATGATCATGTACCACGGCCCCGTGGTGCAGTTCCCGTGGGCCAGGGGCGCCCACCACGTCGACCAGGCCGCCTCCGCCGCCGCCGCCCAGAGCAGCTCCACTTGGCTCAAGGGCACCATCGCCATCATCACCAGCTGCGTCGCCTGGGCCGGCTTCTTCGTCCTCCAGGTACGCACGCACACACCGGCCACGCCGGCCACCATTAATGGCAGCAGCAGCTAGCTAGCTTTGTTCCCTTGTACAGTATACGTAGCACCTTAATTGCGCCGCTCGCAAACGCATGCACGCAGTCGAACACGCTCAACAGCTACCCGGCGGCGCTGACGCTGACGACCCTGATCTGCGCGATGGGCACCGGGATCAACGGCTCGATGGCGCTGGTGGCGGAGCGCCACGACATGAGCGCGTGGGTCATCGGCCTCGACACCCGCCTCTTCACCGTCGTCTACTCGGTAAGCAGCGCCCCCCAGTCAAGCTGCATGCATGCATGCATGCAGCCGGCCAGTCGACCCCATTAGAGTAGTTATTAACGAGCTAATGGATGAATTATGCGCGTGCGCATGCAGGGCGTGGTGTGCTCCGGCGTGGCCTTCTTCGTGCAGGGCATCGTGACGGAGACGCGCGGGCCGGTGTTCGTCACGGCCTTCCAGCCCCTCTGCATGATCATCACCGCCGTCCTCGGCTCCGTCATCCTCAAGGAAGAGACCACTCTCGGAAGGTGATTACGTTTCATCAGTAAACTACCTTGATATTAATTAAGATAAGACCCGTCGCAATCGCTGCAGGAGTAATCGGTTAACTAATCTTGTGGCTCTCATCTCAGTGTGATTGGCGCGGCGATCATCGTGCTGGGCCTCTACTCCCTCATCTGGGGCAAGAGCAACGACATCATCGACAAGCCCGTCCACTCCGTGGCCGAGAAGCTGGCCCTGCCGCTCACCTCCGTCAACGGCAACGGCACCAACGGCACCAACGGGACCAACGGGACCAACGGCGGCAGGCACGTCAACGGCGGCCAGGTCGCCCACGACGTCGAGACGCCGGCGGTGAAGGGCGCGATCTGCCACTAGCGACCTCCAGGCGGCATCTCGCGCATGCGCCTACGTACGTACTACGTGCGTTTCTTCGGTCTCGTGTATGGTCAAGAAATCTGCTCTACGTGTGATGCAGAAAGGAAGTTGCATGTGTCGACGATCGACGGTCTAGTTTCTTTATTTTGATTTCGCATTTTGACTTTGAGCGACCACATAAATTTATGAGCTCCTTATTACTCTTTAGCTACTACTACCATGTATGTAACTTTGATCATTGGACCTGCTTATGACGCGCATGCATGTCTAATCCTGCTTCGCTCTGCTATCGTAGAGATGTGGAGTCAATCAATATTAACGACTACTTTCGATTCAACTGAGCGCTCGCCTCTTTAGTCCACTACTCCTAACACTAACCCCAGTTGAGAAAAGCAAAGTGCCGTGTCCTTCCTGTGTGTGCAATAACCAATAAGTAGTAGTAGTACTCTTGCTGTAGCAACTAGCTAGCTTAACACTACTACTTGATCCTACTTGATTCGTGCGCCGTGTTCCCTGGCATGGAATCCAACAGTATCCCAAAGGTGGCGTCCTTTGAATCTACACACGTCGCCGTCTGCCTTTCTTTCCCTTGTGCAGGCAGCCTTTGGCGCCTCTTTCCGGCAGGAATAATTCGTCTCTTTAGCTCGGTGCCGGCTGACGCCGATACGAGCATCGGCCCGGCTTTGCTGGCAACTAATTGTCGTACGTCCACGATCGATTGTCTTATCTCTCTGTTATCATGGCCGTGCAGGACAAAACTCCTAGTATAAGCTAGTCGCCTGTAGGCTCGCTCGCTGCTCGCCAGTTGTGATTTCTAAGCCGGGGATATGGCCTAAAAAAGCACGTACCGGTGGCAGAAGAAGACGAAGATCATCACTACTCCTACTCTTTGTTGGTTGGGCCCGTTGGCGCAGCAGGACGATCGACGTAATCGGAAAAGAGATACGGTGTGCGGCGAGTTGAGAAAAGAGGCGCCTTTTCTGATCGATCATGCATGATGTGGTGGATGGCTTTGCCGATCTGCAACGGAACGACGAAGGGTGTTGCGTTGCGTACGTCCGTGGAAAATGGATGCACACGGCGGGGATCGGGCACACATGCATGCAGCTCGATCCAGAAGTGTAGAAGGGTCTCGATCGATCGGGTGGACGTGACCGCGTGCGTAGGCGCGCGGTGGCGGGTGGGGGCGGTGTCCCGTCGCCGTCGAGCCGTCGTTTTTGGCATGCACGCATGGCACATTTGCGCGACAAAAAGCGGCGCGTTGCGTGAGTGTGCACGCATGCATGTGTGCCGGTGCCGGGTTATTGCAGGGTCTAGCTAGCGACTAGAGCTACGGGTCGTCCCCCTTGGGGTGGCTTAGCTTAGCTACGTGCGCGTTGTTCGTGTGTGCTTGCGCCCTTTGGACTCTGGCCACGCACACACGCACAAACGACGCCTTTTCGTTTTTCACTTTCGTGGTCACTTACTTGGTCAGTGTAGTACCATGCTTCTGTGCCTTCTTTTCTTGTACAATGTTATTACGTAAAGAACCCTTGGGTAAGAGCATCTAGAGCTAGGCATCCCAAACTCACCTCAAACGTTCGAGCGGACGGCTCGGTCAGTGACCGATCAAAAAACCGATCCAGATAGGCCGCAAACGCTCGGGCTAATCGGCACCCTCATATCCAGCCCAAATGTAGGGAGGATATGGGGAGGCGCCAGTGCGTTCACCACGTCGGACCCGACAGGCCCACTGTACCATAATTTGCACCAAATTCATCAAACCCCCCGCCCTCCTCCCGCCTCCCTCTACCATTTCCCATGTTCGAGCACTCGCCGCCCGCCATGCTTGCTCCCCATCCTCGCCACCGATCCCGATCTGCCGCCCTAGATGTCGTCCAGCCCATCCCCGACCGTCGCAACCGATGCTGCGCCCATGTGTCCTCGGCGTCCCGTCCTCGGCGATGTCATGCAAGTCGGAGAACAACGCTCGGAGGGACTGGCGACGGAGGCAGCGGGAGAGGATGCAGACCTCGACGAGCAGCTGTCCCCCCTTCCCACAGCCGCTCCCGGGACTCTGCACCCCATCCATCCAGCCGTAAACAAGGATCGCGTCGTCGGACCATGTTGGGGCATTCTGGAGAGCTTTCCAACAACACAGATGCCACAATGAATTGCATATGCGGCACAGAGCAAGAGGAAAACAAGTATTGGGAGAAGATTTGAAAGGAATATCATGAACAAAAGTAATATGTGGAGCCGCATCATATCGTCACCAACCGCAATGTGGCATCTCTTCAGTATCAATGGGGATCATTCAAGGGGAAGTGAGCAAGCACGCCAGCTACTATTCACAAGTGCTTGGCCGCTCAAAGTGAGCATGAGAGTGCCAACTCACATAAGCTAAATTACTTCATCTTGTCATCATTTGCATACACTTGTTTTTGTTGCATTCTCATTTTCATATGTATTTTGTTTACTAGACGGTCATGGCGGCCACTATGTATCAAGAAACAAAGAAGAAGCGGTTTGGTTTTAGCCATTGTTGGGTGATACTGAATGGCATATCAAAGTGGACACAACTTGTGGCCGATCTCAAGGCAGGCAAGAAGAGGAATGATGGCTCAAGCTCCCACCAATCAATTGGGCTGGACGAAGAAGAGGTAGATGTTGTAGTGGAGAATGGAAGAGCCACTGTGCCAAAGGATAATCACCAAGTGATGAGAAACAAGTGGGAGATGGCAAGGACCTCCCGTGATGCCGCGGTGTAAGGGCATATTTATCCCTAAGGTGTTTTGGTGACTGATGACAATGCTTTTGCGGACTAATCATGTGCTTTGAGCTTTTCAGGGATTCATCCTTTGGCACGAGACGATTCTTTCCCCTCGGAGTTTGTTATTCAAGACGGTGTAGCTCTTTCATTTCTAGTTTTGTGGTCTTGTCTCGTAGGAGTCTCCGTACTATCAAGAGGGGGTCCGCTTTGGTAAGGCTTGGGTGGAATCATCACGTACACTTCCTTTTCGCACCCTCTGAGCCTTCCCGCGTCGATGGAGGTCTCTTTTCTTGCGTTTTGAGCATGCTGTGGTCCAAGCGGTAGTACCGCGGTACCCAGTGATAGTACCGCTTGTGGGTTCTCAGCCGCAGTACTGCGGTACCCAGCGGTAGTACCGCTTGTGGGTTCACATCCGCAGTTCTGCTGCGGTACAGGGCTCCTACCACGTCGACTCGAGGGGGTCGCCTCTCGTGTCGGGTTATGCGGCACTTCACAGCGGTAGTAGAAGCAGTAGTACCGCCCTACCACCGCGGCAGTGCCGCACTAGGCTTGGTTCCGGCTCTTTCTTCAAGCTCTCCCAGACTGCACGGTAGTATCGTGAGGGGGAGCGGTAGTACCGCCCTCTGCGGGGCTGTGTTGGGGGTAACGGTTGGATGGTTTCCCCTTGTATAAAAGGGGGTCCTCCTCTTCTTCGTTGACTTACCTCGTCCCCCAAAAGCTCCATTAATGCTCCAAGCTCCATTTTTGCCCGATCTCTCTCCCTAGCCAATCAAACTTGTTGATTTGCTCGGGATTGGTTGAGAAGGCCCCGATCCACACTTCCACCAAGAGAAATTTGATTCCCCCCACTAATCCCTAGCGGATCTTGTTACTCTTAGGTGTTTGAGCACCCTAGACGGTTGAGGTCACCACGGAGCCATATTCCATTGTGGTGAAGCTTCGTGGTGTTGTTGGAAGCCTCCGATTAAGTTGTGGAGATTGCCCCAACCTTATTTTTAAAGGTCCGGCCGCCGCCTCCAAGGGCACCAATAGTGGAATCATCGCACCTCGCAGTGTGTGAGGGCGTGAGGATAATATGGTGGCCCTAGTGGCTTCTTGGGGAGCATTGTGCCTCCACACCGCTCCAACGGAGACGTACTTCCCCTCAAAGGGAAGGAACTTTGGTAACACATCCTCGTCTTCACCGGCTCCACTCTTGGTTATCTCGTCCCTTTACTTGTGCAAGCTTTTGTGTTATTTACCTTGCTTGCTTGTGTGCTTGTTGTTGTTGCATCATATAGGTTGCCCACCTAGTTGCATATCTAGACAACCTACTTTGATGCAAAGTTTAAATTGGTAAAAAAAGCTAAAAATTGTTAGTTGCCTATTCACCCCCCTCTAGTCAACTATGTCGATCCTTTCAATTGGTATCAGAGCCTCGTCTCTTTACTAAGGACTTTACCGTCCGAAGAGTATGGTTGACACCGTAGACGGTGTGGAGGAGCACTCCGGTGTGAATCCTATCTCGTCTACGGGCGATGGGGAAACCGCGGTCTCTCGTGAGGAATTCAATGTGTCCTTGGAAACATTGAAAACCTCCATGACGACCGATGTTGAAAGCATGTTTAATAAATTCATAGAAGGGCTTAAACTATCCACCGCACCTTTGAAAGTGCGTGATCCCATTAACAAGGTGACGGATGCTAACTCCGACAAGGGGATGCTATTAGTGAAAAAACTCCTTCATCTAGTGGTAAGAATGGCACCGGCACCTTTGCCCATGTGGAACCTCCACTTGTGTATGGTGGACCGATTCCCTCTACTCATTTGAATCATGCCGGTCCTCCCCCTAAGATTGTGAAAAATGAGGACTTTGATTCTTGGGTCTATTGGTTTAAGCGTCATTTAAATCATGTGAATACTAATCTTTGGAGAATCATTGAAGAAGGTCTCTATCCACATGACCGAAGCAACTTCACTCCAAGAGAAGCCACGGATAATCAATTCAATGAGAATGCTCTCTTCATCATCCAAGACGCAATTCCACCCGAAGATCTTCCTCACCTCCGGCCCTACGCCATAGCCAAAGATGCATGGCACCAAGTTGTTTCTCTCTACCGGGGAAGCGCAAGCATTCAACGCTCTAACTATGAAGTGGTGCAAGATGAAGCCGATGAGTTTGCTATGAAGGAAGATGAAGAACCTCGTGAGCTTTATCGAAGAGTAACCAAACTCGCGGTTTCACTCCGAGATCATGGGAGCAAGGACACATATGACAATTGGATCAAGTGCAAATTCCTCAAGGCAATGATGCCTTACCACAAGGCTATGTCCTCCGTCATTCGTCAAAGGTCGGACTTCCACACCTTGTCCTCAAGTGAGGTGTTGGATGAGTTTGTGGCTATGAGCATCTTGGACA